TAATGGCCCATTAGCACATGAATGTATTATAACGACCGTACCGCAGCAGTCTCCTCACACAACAGCCAGTTCACGGCTCAATAACCTATGTTCTTTTATGGTGGATAAGTTTGTTTGCATGGGCGATACATGCACGACATTTCTAGGGTGTCATTTTAAAATGGAAACCAGTGCTTCTCAAGCTGTAATTTATTACTTGGCGTGACGAAGGCTGATTCAAACCATACATAAATTGAAATGGCGCGTTTTCCTGTTTTAAATGGATTTGATTTGCAATGTATTGCTTTTTTTTTTTTTTTTTTTCTTAAAGTTTGGGTATGTAATTGGGGAGCCAAATTTGTGCTTGCACCTTTACGATGTATCAATGCAAGCAGCTGTTTTGTTGTTTTTTTTTGGGTGGGGGGGGGGGGCGCACCAAATTGACGCTTGATCCTTTACGATATTTCATGGCATATGCTGTATGGCGCTAAGTGGGCGCATTCACTTTAGGATACATCACTATATATTCTGTTGGGGCGCCCGCATTAGTCCTTGCACTTTGACGATACACCAATAAAGAATTGTTCCTTTATTTGTTTAAGGGTGTTTCTTTCAAAGATCTGTGGAGCCGGCGAATACAATTAATGGTTACCTTTTGAAATAAAAGAGCTTGGTACCAAAAATTGTTCCTGTTCAGCTGGTTTTTCATATTCTTAAATACAACCCTTATATTTACATACACAGTAGACGAGGGACTAATCAAGTATAAATGGCGATGAAATTTTAATTCTTAAAATTGGAATTTCATGATGCAACCTCGAAATATTAGGTATATCCTGGCCTCATCCCTTGTTTTATTGATCACGATTATAGTCCGTAACAGCCATCATTTTTTTTTTTTTTTTTAAAAAAGGAAACATAACTCTTTTTCTCAGATCCTACAAAGGGTTAACTTACTTTCTCGCTGGCGTTAATCCACAAAAGAATTCAATAAGACAATGTTACCAGCTTCTCTTACTTTGCATTTCGGACCTTTCAAAGGGTATTTTAAATGTATGCTAAATCAGAAACTATGATTGAAAATAAAGGACTTCTAGAAGCATGAGTGTTGCCACCCCCATATATATTTCAAAAGATGGTGGGGCAATATTAGTCAGAAGAAAACAAGCGGGAGGGGGAGGCACTAAACTCTTGTAGGAGCTCGTGGGGGAATCACCAAATTTAACCATATTAATTTAAACCATATTAATTTAAACCATATTAATTTAAACCATATTAATTTAGTCCTTTAAAATCCCTAATTAAAGGGGCGTCACTGACATTCACAAGGAGTTGAAAGGCTCACCAACCCCCAAGCTAACATTAAATGATATACCGTAAGCCTTGAGGGTTTGACCCGCTTCCCCCCCCCCCAACCACAAACCCATGCCTTGACAAATAGCCCAGTAACACTTACATGAGGACCCAAGGCATACACTGGAATGAGCTGCAAGTGAACGATTAAAAGATTAACGTTAATTTAAATTAACCAATAATTTTCACACCCATGTCATTTCAGATCGATATTGTATTGCCACCTGAGATAACGTTGTACACTAATATTTCTTACCTGAATCATTGTAAGCTCATGAGTCTCTCAGTTTAACGTCAACCATTTTGGACTGTGCATGTATTTTTGTTAGTGTATCACTTCCACTGTAATTATTGCATAAACATTGAAGGCAAGCAATGAAATCAAACTTAGCTCCATGTCACGACTCTCAACTTATTTCAACACGTTTTTTGTGGCCTTCCAGCACTTGAAAATCTTATCAATGGCACAGAAGCCCCAACCAATCCAGAGGAATTCTTTACTGCTAACCTCAACAAATCCAGATAAATCGTTTCACTGCTAACCTCAACAAATCCAGCCAAACTTTTGGCACTGCCAATCACAACAATCCATAACGACCTCTGCTTAATCCTGAGTTCCTAATTTAATGGCAGACCACAATGTTGGTCTGTCTGGTAAGGCAGACGAGTCTCGTCTTCACTGAATGTAACAACAACAAAAAAAATCTAGCTTTACAGTCACAATTTTGACAAGTCAATTGATCGGCGATTCTTTCCGTACACTGATCCTCTTGACAGTGATTCCCAAATTGTGGAAAGTTTGCAATTCTGATGGGAGTACCCAAAGTCATTCAATTTGTTTAAAACTTTTTTAAATCAAATAAAATGTAATAAAAATTATTGTATTTTAAAATAACCACAATCCAATAACTGAATCATTGTCAACACTTTTCTGTTTTATTGTCATGTGATATTTGCGTTCTAAACAAACCGGTGTTTCGAAAACCTCATACGTTGCGATGTTCCATTCCTTACCTATGAGGATTTCGATTTCATCTCTCTTAAAACAATAATGACTAGATGCTATATATTTCTTATCAATAAACCAGTCCCATTCAAAAAAGAGTACAAAGTTTGAGAACCATCTTTCACAAAAACTACACCACTCGGATAATCTCATGTGGCCGAGCCATTTTGGACAGGAACTATTTTAAGACACCTGTCAGAGCGCAGACGGCTAATCAATGACACCGCTATGCTTCACCTGTTGGGCTGACCTCTTGCGACCGACACAAAACAATAGTGTCCTGAGAAATCTGCACGTAGGTCCAATCACTGTCATCTGGTCTATAATATATTTGCTCAACCGATTATGCTGGGGGCTTAAGGTTTTGGAGATCATCCCCAGCTACAAACGTTTCTTTATGAGAACTATAAAATAACTTTACACTTTTAGGAATGTTAGTACATGTGTTTAGACATTTCAGAAATATAGTCTTAACTTTTTGTACACTCTTAAAAACGTCAAATTTCTCAAAAAGCCCACTCTCTACTCCCCTCCCTTAAAAATACACCTATTATCCACCTATTATCCACCTATTATCCACCCTTCCTCTAATACCTTAGTGTTCAGACAAGCTTTCTAAAAGTTACAATTTTTTACATCATAAACTCCACTTCTACACCTTTACAAGTATTGACTTTAATGATCGCATGAATGTCTGAACCGTGGCCATGTTTTCAAAACACAAATCGGATCTCTTCTCAAGGAATTACACCCCCCCCCCCCATTTATTTCTTTTCCTATAGCGACTCAAACATTTTAATACCGGCGTTGCTCAAGCGGAACACGAGTCGATGGATACCAGGGTAAGCTAATTACCAAACGATTGGAACTACTCTTGACACGTTCCGCATGACTTGTTCACGGTCTAAAAAAAATAAGCTGATCTATTTATTGTATTAACTCCGTTAACCGAATTGAATCTTAAATGTTAACATTTTTTATTGCTTTAACTGTTAAATGAAAATGATCAAGGTTTAAAAAAAAAAAAAAAAAATTAAATACATTTTTAATAAAGATATTAACAACAACAAATCTTGCCCGGGCGGGAAGGGTTTAAAATTTTTTATTGCTTTAAATTTTAAATAAAAATAAACAAAGTTTAAAAAAAAAAAAAAAAAATTAAATACATTTTTAATAAAGATATTAACATCAACAAATCTTGACAGGGCGGGAAGGGTAGGGGGGGGGGTGGATTGTGTTATTTCTTAAATAAGATTAAGTTCTTGCTTTCAGTTATATAAAAAATAATCTAATCATAGTGTCTAGAGCCCTTCATCTCCTGCGGCCCAGGGAGCCTCGGGTGTGTAAGGAGCCGGAACTTGTGATTTGGAAAGAAGAACAAAAATGTATAATCAACCTTGAATGCTAGGGAAACAAAACCAATAAAAAATATTTTAAGAAAACTTTTTTTTTTGTTAACTTTTTTTTTTTTAATTAAAATGCACAAAATGTACAAAATAATTTTTAAATGTAACCAGAAATTTCTTACAACTAATCATGTCGACAAAAATAAAAACGTAGGCGCAAATCATGGAAGGGGCTGCTACATGAACTCACTGTTCTATCCTTCAGCTTACATGAACTCACTGTTCTATCCTTCAGCTTACATGAACTCAATGTTCTTTCCTTCAGCTTACATAAACTTAATGTTCTTTGCATCGGCTTACATGAACTCAATGTTCATTGCTTCGGCTTACATGAACTCATATGTTCTTTGCTTCGGCTTACATGAACATAATGTTCTTTCCTTCAGCTTACATGAACCCAATGTTCTTTCCTTCAGCTTACATGAACTTAATGTTCTTTGCTTCAGCCCAATTGGATAATGAGAATTGGGATAAACTTGAGATACAAGATTTCACCACACACAAACTGACACACTGATAAACGAATAGAGCGACAAAAGAAAAAGTCATACGACATTATTGTATTTTATGGGTGCCCCATGATTTGTCATAGAGTCATATGACCGTAACGACTCTGAAATCATGTGACTGTAAGAATTCTGAAGTCATATGACTGTAACAGCTCTGAAGTCATCTGACTGTAGCAACTCTGAAGTTTTGGGGTACATTAATTAACTACTGTCTCGCTTTGTACGTTTCAACTGAATAACTTTATTTGTGGGGCTATGGGATTCAAGCGGTGTCGATCACTATTGTGGAAGATAATATATTTGTCCACCATTGACTGAGATTCATTGGGTGCCCATAGTCGATGTTGAAGATTAATTAAATGAACTTGTTATTTTTGTTTGATTTCTATACTGGATATTCCATTGGTCCTACTTGTTGGAAGAATAACACGTGATCTGAATTTATTTACACCGAAAAATAATTCAGCAAAGCCAAAGAAAACTATACATGACAAAATCCCTTTCATGTCACTCGGGTGGACCACAATATGATAACATTTACTGTAAACTTTTAATTATGCTAGAATCGGGGCAATAACACAGCCACACATATGCAAGTTTAACTAGCACATCATCAACACCGAAGTAGGGCTTCTCAATTCCTGGGTTTGGCGTATCCCGAGAAACATTTAAGTCCTAATCATTATTGTATTTAAAATATAACTGTTAAATGTTTTGTTTGGTTACAATGTAGTCTACTTCTACTTTTCAACAGCCATGAAGTTCTATAAATTGGTACAGAGTTCTCGGAACTTCCCCGACATACTGTATCCTGTTGGAGGCAACAACTCTGGCGGCTAGACATTTCAGTGACGTGGTATGAAGAACCTGTCTCAGGGAGTCCTTACAGGCCAGGAGATCTGCTGCGGTTTGACCGAGGTCATTCACTTGATCAACATGTGCCCCTCGCCTCAACAGCATGATCACCACTCCAGGTTCAACTGTCGCGCCCATGTTGTGAAGAGCTACCGCGGCATGGAGAACTGTATTTCCGAAAAAATCTTTTGAAGCAGGGTCGGCACCCAGCAGGATGAGAATCTCCAGCATTGCTTGAGATGGCCAGAGATTTCCTAGGGTTGCGCTCACATCACATTCCAGTGGGTCCAAAGTTGTAATATCTAGACACATATGCAACAGGGTTTCGTTACTTTCTCCTCGCGGGTTCAGGGAGATCAAATTGCGAAGAACCATTCCTAATTCTGGTCTCCGATCCTGTGCTGGATAGTTTTGTAGATACAGTAGAAGCATGCATTGGCTGCACTTTAGGAGGAAATAAAACTGTTCGCATTTGGGACTACATGTGTATATGTTTATGACTATGTTGATGTGGCGTGTTATTAAACCAAATAACTCCCTGGCAACATCTTCAGGTACCACGCATTCATCTTGACCTGGATAACTTGTTGGTCTCGACTTGCCCAGCTTGTGGACATGATGAAAAACTTTCACCAGGAACTGAACATTTCTCATCACATTCCGCGAGAGCACATCGCTTGCAGCATTCTCATCGAAGGTGTCCAACTTTTGCAAGTGGAGCTTGTAAGCCGTCTTCCAGAGATTTATGGCCAGGAGAAACTTCTCCTCGTCTGCGCTGACCGCTCCCCTGTACATGAGCAGGTTGATGTAATTCTCGTGATACTGGCCTCGGTTCCGCTCGTACATCAGCAACGCTTGAATGCACAGGGCGTCGCGGTCGGACGAGCACCGCGAGATGCTTTCCAGGCAAGTCAACTCTTTTACCTGAAGACATTGTGCTAAAACGGAATCCCGCATTGAGTAATAGATATCTGCGTTTGTGTTGATTCGGCTTAAGGCCACCGCTTTCTGCCAGTGATGGAGACCATTCGTGTAATCACTATCCAAAATTATGGTCATGGCGCCTAAAATGAGATAAGCATCAATTATTTCAGGTATTTTTGGACGAGTTACACGTAAGAGATATTCAAGGATAGGCCTGTGTCTGAATTTAGCCGCCGTTTGGATCACGTTGAAGTTGTCGTTATTGACAATCATTGGGTTAGCTCCCATGTCAACCAGCCTCGCCACTGCATCAATGTTGCCGACTTCTGTGGCGTAGTGTAGTGCAGTGTTACCCGACATGTCAGTTTCGCTAACTCGAGCGCCAAGCCGCACCAGAAGCTGGATCACTTTGGGATCCTGCGCAGCACTCATAAGGCAGGTGGACCCGTGAATGTTCTTGGCGTGAACGTCAGCCCCGTGAGTGACCAGCAGTGACACGATCTCCAGATGGGAGTTGGAGCAGGCGGCCATCACAGCAGTTGTACCTGACGACGAGCTGGCGTTTACGTCTGCGCTATGTTTTGCAAGAAGGCGGACCATTTCGAGATTTCCTGTTGCAGCAGCAGACCATAGAGGAGTAATCTGAAACGCACGAAATATATTTACCATTTCAATATAAAAATACAAACATGGATTGGGGGAAACACTAAAAAAAAAAAAAAGATGAAACAAAGCGACGAACGTTTCGGCAAAGAATCATTCTTTGGCGAACGACCAAGAACAAAAAAACATAAAAAGCAATATTTATTTCTAAAGGTTTATGCATATTAAATGTAAAGACAGCATTGATGTTTTAAATGATTGATTGCAAAGAAATTAAAAATTTTCGGCATATTCCTGAACTTTTTTTCCGAAGACTTAATGAAATATGGTATGTAGACGACGGACAATTGTATTCGCAGCTTACGTGGTGGTTGGTGCTGTCTTGAGGTAAAGTACACAGTCCTCTCTGTTCCACATCTGGTGAACACTCTTTGAGCATGAATTCCACAAACCGAGTCCTGGATAGCTGGCACGCCGTGAAGAAAATAGACGCACTAACGGGAAAGTCTGCTTTATAGTTGACCACCGTCCGTCTTGATGACACGTCCAGGCAGTTTAATGTAGTGACAAATGCTGGAAAGTTGGTTGTCATGACATAACTGTCTAGCTTGGAAACTAGTGCCGGGAAGGAGATGTCTGAGACATCAATATTTGCTCTCTCCAAGTTAAAACTGCAACAACACACACACACACAAATAAGATAAAGAATTTTTTAAAGTTTTTTTTAAAAATTGTGCAGTTGTACAACCAGTGGCGACGCTACACCAGGTCTCGCCGGGTCCTAGGACCTGGTAAAAAAACTTGGGACCTGGCAAATGATCTGGTAAATTTGTATTAGTTACTAATATTGTATATATGCTCATTAAGCGTAAACTACATTACATGTAAGAGAATTTATTTGGGACCCGCCAAATTTTTTTAAGACTTGCAAGGGACCCGCCATGTTAAATTTGATGGCGTCGCCACTGTGTACAACAATATTGAATTGACTGAAGTCATTTAAATGTGCAGCATTATAAGATAATCAGAGACGTGCGCATTACCACGTTGGCGTTGAAAGCTGCTATAAACTGGCACAAAAATCATCCTTGCTGTTATAACAAAGCCACTTGCAGAAATAGCAAAAGAACATTTCATCGCAAAATATAAACAAAATTGGAATAGTTTTTAATTAGTTTAGATAAAAGATAGTTTATTAGCACTCGATTGAATTATAACACACTAGTTATAGCTCGCCAAACATTGGCTACGCCATTGCGTCAGCTTCCCATCTACTAAAGTTACTTGACAAAAACGTGAACTCAAGTTACGCACATTTAAGAATCCCAAATTTTTCCTACACCCCTTCCCCCAATGATACGTCACTACACACTTTTTATTTCATGCCCATGAACTATATTAATATTCTGATGTCCCAACCACTTTTAAACCTAATATTTATATTTCACCATATTACAGTTGAAATGATTTCATTTTCCGAAAAGAAAAGAAAATATTACGCACCAAACCCACTTACATTTTTCTTTAAAATTAGCGTAGGAAATTATATTTTGCGCGCTATCAGGATATGGAAGCAGTCACACAATAAGCAAAATATATGTAAGAGATTGTTTAAAATGATAGTAAGACAAATTTAACTTAGAGTAGTTTGCAGTAATATAATCATTTCACTAAGAATAAGTTAGAACAACTAAAGATAAAACGTACCCATCAAAGTTACCATCCCTTGCAACGCGTGTGTCCAGCCACGCCAACTGCGGAGCTCTCGTCCTGTTCCTCATCATACACCCAGCCCATCCTGAGGAAGAGGTTACCGGTGTTGTTTGTGGCCTGCCAGCAGCCGAATGACCAACCAGCCTATAGGTTTGCTTATGAGCTCCGAATGTCGGAGTTGTTCTTGGCCTTGTCCCGACACTACTCCGTGCAGGCACAATTTTGGAATGAAATATCTTTTCAGCGTCTCTGGTGACTTGCTGAATACGTTGTCGTCTGCTCTGAGAAGACCAGATGGTTGTGGCTCGATCATAAGACGCTGCCATCTTGCTGGCTGGTGTTGTAGCCCTCACACCCACAGGGCGCGACCTATTCCAAATGTTCACATCTGAATATTCACATTCCAGACCTTGAACAGGCGTGGCCTGGGGTTTATCTGTGCAAATTAATTTAGTTGAGGTGTAAGCAAATTGATGTCTCCTTGAATGCGTAGATTTTGCTCCAGGTGAACTGTTGAACGTTTCTGTAGTTTCTTTTCTTTCCTTATCGTATCTGAGTGAAGAACATGCAGCAGAATTCTTGTTAGCAGATATACTCGAAGTTATTTGGCTGTTAGCACAGAGTGTGTCTAAAGCTGTTGCAATACGTGGTCTGGAACTGCAGATGTTCTTCGCACGGACTGTGAGACAATCGGATAAAATTGCTTTAAATTTTACCCCAGGTTCCTGGTCTTCTACAATCCTCTCAGCAACCGGACTTCGCCTCAGATTGATACGTCTTTGGCGGACAATCATTTTACTGTGGAGAGAGACAGATCCAGTTAAGAAATCTATTACCAACAATTCTCAAATCTGTAAAAGCGCTGAGCACTTGGTCAGTTATCAGAATGTGTTTAAACGATGGTCCTACTGCTTCCAAGAAAATATTCATGTGTTCAGGGAGTTCCTCATAGTGTTTCATTAGTTGTTAAATAATGAATGCAGCCATGCGCTAAAACTGTCTTTTGATTTGTTGCTTGGGGTTGCCAGGACGTAGCCATGAAAATTGCATTAGTTGTGTGAGAAAACTGCGCGGCGGTCGATGCAAGGCACGATGAAATGCCCTGCCTTGAGCTTATCAAACATTTAGCGGCATCGCCCATTCGTTTTGGTACAATTAAACTTACGTCACGCATGTTACATCATCCCAAGAGAGGTTCTTACACCAATTAAGGATATGAGGCCTTGTTTGTAATGTTTCACTGTTTTTGATCTCTACCACTGAAACCCCGTTCATTATGTGTATTATATATTTAGTGTTTCAATGGTATGGCTATCTCTAGCTATTACATTTTTTTTTTAAAAATATATTTGAATGGATCTGATTTGAAAATCAAAATAACAGTAGTTTCTAACTCTATAATTTGATAGGATGTGTTGTCATCGGCAGTGAGACTATGTGCCAAGTTTCAGCGCGATAGCTTGACGGGAAGTGAGTCAATTAGCCGTACGAAAATTTAGACAGTCTGATACCCAGCGAGCCATCCAAGAGCAAAAGCGAAGTAAATATAATGGATTTTAAAACAGCCTAGAATTACGAACGAGGCTATTGAATTTCTGCTATACTTTTCAATCACTTATGTAATTAAACTAAGACTTTCTTTTATTGGTTTAATTATTATCATTATTTATTATTATTATTATTTTGGTAATAATTGCCGGTCTTGCTGAAAGACATGATTTGGAACTTTGGGTTGCTCTGTCAGATAATCATGGTGAATTCCGAGTTGCTCTTGGAGATTTAGCCAAATACAAACAACTAACGCACAGATTCTGGTGAGGGTCTGAGATTACTCTCTTATGACCCCGGCTAGAACATTGGCTACCAGCTCCATCTGCTGAGCTGAGCCATGTACCATTTTGCTCTTGTAGGCTGTAGGGCTCTCCCATCGCCCTGGCTTCCCCCGAAACATCTAGTGAGGGGCATTCGGCCAACAGATGCGCTAGTGTTTCCAGGACCAGGCTACAACAACTATGTGGAGCAAACCGGACTCAAAAGTTTTATTAGTTACTAGCGAGTACCCGGCATGCGTTGCAATGCCACTCAAGGAAAGAAAGTGTTTGCATGTTATGTTTCTTCAAGAGCTTTTAAATACTCAAAATTTTTCTTGTTTTTCCATCTGGTATATACACGAATAAATCAGAAGATTTTCCGACGCGAGAGCAGGCCACATACATCTGTCCATGGGCGAAGCATGGGTTTTCCAAATTTAGTCCGCAAACTTGTAGCGATTGTCCCTGTGCTTTGTAGATAGTCATTGTAGACGCGTGTCGCATCGGAAACTGTAGGCGTTTGAATTCAAATGGCATATCTGTTGGAATCATTGGGGTGAATGGCAAAAGTACATCACCTAGTTTAAATTTTCCATTTAAAATAGTAACTTCAATGGAACCAATTTCGGAAGATTCATTTGAAAAAATGTACCGTACCTAATGCTTCGATATCAAAGTGCGTTTCTCGTTGCAAATCAAGAGCGAAAAGTTTGTTTGCAGATCGATTCCGAGAGGTAATTCCCAACTCATGAATCATCAATCGATATGAATAGTATTTCATGGCACTGTCTTTCTTATTCGAATTTCTCAATTTGATGTCAAAATGATATCCATCTTCTCGTTGCCAAAATAAAATAGGATATTGCAATCAAACGTATGAGCGATGAGTTTCTGAGACTCGCTGAACATCAACACTTCTGTGATGAAGAATTATATGTGTTATTTAATTACTTGAGAAACCATCGATTGGTGTAAAATGTATTTACATAACACAAAACAACTCCGAAATTATAAGACTCTATTCAAGATATACTCTTAGTTGAAAAAAAAAACGCGATTTCGATGTCATTTCCGATTCTAAAATGCGTCACAAAATTCAAGCTTATTTATACACATAACAAAAATACTTTCTACACTAAAAATGTA